ATTATAACATGGGGATATACTAATAGCACCTACCTACCTCCCAAAGTTGTTGTGGTGATCACATAAGATAACATGTGTAAAGTGATTTGGAAACCTAAGAGCAATAAATCAATCTGAATTGATTTTACGTAGTTTATTGTGGGAAAAAAAAACATCAGCAATTAGAGCGGTTGATCATTAGTAATAGGCATTAAAGCAAAACTCTGGAGAGCAAGGGAAACCCTCTGTAAGGGAATTACATTTGTGAATGATGTAGAAACTACTCAAGAGATTGAGCATTTAAGATCTTATCTAGGTTCCAGTTGAAAAGGCAAAGATTATCTGAGAGTTAAGTTTATAAAAATTTAAAAAAATTACAGGCATGAAGGCAAGGGTGAAGGAGAGCCACTCCAGGCATTCAAAGATAGAAGAATATATAATCCAGTATATCAACTAATCGACATGTGGGCAAGAAAGAGAATTGGTAAAATATGGCACCATACTTCTGCCCCTCTCCATGCCCCAGGGTATAGAAAAGGTTCTAATTTCCCTTTCTTCTCTCTTACTCTCTTCCCTGTATTTAGGCACAGATATAGTCCTGGAGAGCTGGACCTGGTATAGGAGAGAGTAAGATGTGATAAAGTAAGGGAGTTTGATAACAGTGGACTGTTTTGACTAAGTGGTGACCTTGTGGTCTTTGGAGAGAGTGAGAGGGATTCTCTTTAGCTTGAGAAGAACAGAAGCTCTGAAAAGCCAGGATCTAGCCCGAAAGAGAGCAAAGCAGGGAAAATGTTGCTAACTTAATATGCTCAAAGTGAAAGAGCTAAAAGTGATCTTTGTGCTTCCTTCTAGGTGTCTAGCCTAAATTGAAAGAATAGGGAAGAGAGGACTAAGGGTACACAGTATATACAAGAGTAATATTATGCATTTTGCTGGTGTCCTTCGTGTTATAGGTGCTCTTTCCTTTCTTCTTTCCCTCTTTCTTCCTGCTCTTCTTTTCCTCTCTCTTTCCCCCCTTTCCCTCTCTCTCTTTCCCCTTATTTCTCTTCTCTCTCCCTTTCCCTTTCACTCTCTTCCCTCCCTCCAACTCCCTCTCTTTCTCCCACCCCCTTCAAATTCCCTTGACGAGGGTCAGGGTAATAAAGGAAACTGAGGAATTCCAACATAAAGAGTGAACCAAACTGAATAATTCCATAAATATGAAAACTATATAAACTGAAAGTTACAGAGGTTTGCCAATGCTTTTTTTTCCCGCTATTCTCATCGCATAATAATAATAAATGATAAGTGAGAGAAAGGAAAACATTTCTTTGAGGAAGAAAGGGGAAGTACAATTAGATATTTTGATACACCAGAATCTCTTCTAAGTAGGGACTGGGAAATGCCCAAATATCAGTTCATTTTTTTATACTGAGTCCTCTGAAAGCAGGGACTGTATCTTACTTATCTCTTCCCACAGATAAACAGCCTGGTGCAATTTACTGTGATGTATGTTGAATGAACATGTGTTCTATTTCAACCTAAGAAAGAGTCAAAGTTAGGGATCCCAATCCTTAGTTCTGAGATATCCCAGAGATAGCAGAAGGAGATGGGCCCTGTGAATAAAACACTCAGCCACTCACTGGTTGTGGGCTTACACACAGCTAAGTGAGTGACTAATTTGGTAAGTCCCTTGCTTTACCTGTCTCTGCCTCAATTTCTTCACTTGTACAATAAGGGTAATAATGTCATCTACCTCACAAAGTTAATGTTGTAAGGATCAAATGAGATAATGTATGTAAAGTATTTGGCAAACCACAAAGAATTATAGAAATGGCAGCTCTTATCACCATCTTTGGTGAGTTCCAATGTGGTTCACATCACAATAATTATTTAAAAAAATAATAGCTCACTCTGACTTTAAAACAAATCTATTTTTAGATGAATGAATGAATAAAGCATTTATTAAGCATGTACCTGTGTAAAGAGCACTGTGCTAAGAGTTGAGGACACAAACAACTCTATTTCATTCAGTACACTTTAACATGTCCAAAAATGGAACTCCTCTTTTCCCCCTAAACCTCTCCCTTTTCCAAAGTCCCCTTGTGGTCACCTAACTTGCAACCCTAGATGCATCTTTTTGGGCTTCTCTCACCCACCATGAAATCTGTACATGTCCTATACCTGCCCCTTTCAGGGGTCTCCCCTGTCCAACTGGAAGTCTCCTAATTTGTGCTCTCGCTTCTAATCATACCCCAATTCCAAATAATCCCCCATATAATTTCCAAAAGAACTTTCTAAAGCACAGTTTGGTCAAAGATCCTGCTCAAGAATTTCTCTGGGATAAAATGCAAGCTCCTCAGCTAGGTATCTGAAGCCCTTCACATCCTCATATTCTGTCTCTCCCCTACCATTGCTGACTTAGTTTTGACACTACTCCTGTCCTCTTCCCCACCCCTGCCTCTTGCCTGCAATGCCATTCACATTCAGCCTCTTAAAATCTTCAGTCTACTTCAAGGCTTACCTCCTTACAGGAATCCTTTCTTAATGTTTCTAGTTGTTCAAAGCATCTTGTGTATATACTGTATTTCACTGCATAATTGTCGCAGATTTTATGCCAACTATTTTGCAAAAAAAGTGGGGTGCAACCATTATGTGAAGCTTAAAAAATTGTGCCGGTATTGCTTAAAAATCATCTATTACTAACCTGCCTTTGGTGCAAGATTAGGATGCATGAATATTTGTGAATACGCATTAAAATTGAATTCTGCCAATGCGTGTGCACTGAGAATTCTAGGCTTGCAGCTCAAGAGATAATGCGTATCCAGATGCCACTGGTGAATATACTGCTGCTCTGTTTACCTTTTAAGCAGTGTGATGAATAGAATTATGCCATGTGACAATTTACATGATGAAAGATTACAAACCAATTTTTGGACTAAAAAAAAAAAAACAAACCAGGGTGCGACGACTATGCAGTGAAATACAGAAAATGCCTATTGAATTGAATTTTGTGGGAAAGAAAGTAGCCAGAATCCTGAAATCAAATCACTGCTGCAAGACTGAAAATCACTAGTCTATTCCCTTTCCATGCATGAAAAGGGTCAGTCAACAAGCATCTACTTATTAAGTGTCTAACAGGTAGGTGGGATAGTGGATGGAGCACTGGAACTAGAGTCAGGAAGACCTGAGTTCAAATCCTGCCTCAGTCATTTACTAGCTATATGACCCTGGACAAGTTACTTAACCTCTCTCTGCCTCAGTTTCCTCAATTGTAAAGTGGGTATTATAATAGCACCTACCTCCCAAGATGCTTGTGAGGATCAAATGAGATAATGTTTGTAAAGTGCTTCGTGTCTGGTACATAGTAGACATTTAATGTTTCCTTCCTTTCTTTCCTTTCTGACACTAAGGATACAAAGTAAAAAATCTTAACAGGTTTGCTGTCAAGGAGTTCACATTCTAATGGGAGAGATGACCCAACTTAGGTATTTACAAGATAAATATATCTCCAGTTGTCCTGATGAGTATCTGGCCACTGGATCCAGATGGCTCTGGTGGAGAAAGTGAGGCTAGTGCCTTTGCACAGTTCTCCTCATCAAATCAAAGTCAATTGCAAGTCATGTCATCATCTCTCTGATGTCATGGTCCTCTTCAAGAATGAAAGACAAACCACAACCACCATAATAGAGGTAATCTTAGAGGGAAGGGCACAAGCAGGAAGAATCAAAAAGGCAAGTCGTCCAGCAGAAAAGGATATCAGAACTGAGTCTTGAAGGAAACCAGAGATTCCAAGAGACTTGGTGAGGAGGCAGGGTACTCCAGGCATGGGGGATATCCATTGCAAAGGCACAGAGAGAAGAAATTTGTTGTCTAGCCAGCATGGCTAGAAGGCAGTAATGTCCTACACGTATAGAGTGGAAGGAAAGAACCAGGACATGACATGAAGAATTTGGATATTAAGTGAAGGTTACATAGGGAGTTCATTTCCTGGTTAGATCTGCATTTTAGGAAAATCATTTTGGCAGGTGTGTGGAAGATGAGCTGGAGTGAAGAGAGATTTGAGGCCTGGAGACTAATTGAGAGGCAGGCAAGAGGTGATGTAACACAGTGGCTGCTGTTAAGAGGGCCAGTCAAAGGGACATATTCAAGAGATACTGTAGCCATAGGAATGAAAAGGTCTGGCAGTCTATGTGGGATGAGTGAGAGAAGAGTTGAGGCTTGACCCCTGAAATGATAAACCCAAGTAGACTGGAAAATAATAAAGAAATTCATTAAATGACTTGGAATCTGAGAGACCTAATTTTTTTCAGCATCTTTGTAGAAACATAATAGTTATCTGTAATTGGTTGGGCAAATAATATCCTCTTTACACCTAAGCAAACTTAGAGCCTTAGAGTCTCTTAAGAAACTCATGCTTCGGAAGGGTGGTGGGGAGGACTTGGGGAGGGTGGTAGGGAGGAAAGGGGAGAAAAATTTTAAACTCAAAAGCATATGGAAGTGATTGTTGATAAATCAAAATTAATTAATTAAAAAAGAAACTCATGAACAAAAAAAACACAGGTGAAGTTGGAAAACAAATATTTCCTGGAATTTTTATATGTCTATTATTTTTATTAATTCTCAAATAACTAAATCACCAAATTGGGAGATAAAAGTAAATTGCTAGGCATATGTATTTATTTTAGGCATATCTTCTTAAACAATTTAGAACCTTAGGAACTAAAAGTTATTCACTTATTTCCTGCTCAGGCCTCTTAAATCATTGTATTCAAGAATCTAAACAAGAAACTAGAATAATCCATTGGTTTGCATGAGCTATAATTTAATACCTTTGCTTAACCGCCATTTTAAAACAGTGGCTATTTGGTTGAAGGAGGTAGGTTCGGTTTTTGTTTTTGTTTTTTTAAGTAAGATAGCTCCCTTAATTCTGTAGTTGCTTTAGATAAGAGTTTATTGCTGGTCTGTGTACATTCAGAAAGAATGACTCTTTGAAGTCCTTGGCAAACCACTGGATAAGGGCCATGTTATACTTCTCTTACCTGGAAAACAAGTAGTCAGGTGTTCCATCAATGCTTCAGGTGTGACAGGTTTTCTTGCAGAGTTCATCGCTGAGATGGCCAAGCAAAGGATTTCCCCAAGTGGAATAAACTGAGATTGACTGATGGGAGACATGCTGATAGGAGAGACATCACCTGTAGAAAAGGAGAGACATTTTGAGCAAGTACTCAATTAAAAAAAATGCAATTATATTATAATTCTCTCTTCCACCCCCCTCCCCCCTGCTTCTCTCTCTCTCTCTTACACACACACACACACACACACACACACACACACACAGATGCAATAAAGTATTCTAAGATTTAATCCAACAAATATTAACCAATTGTTTATACAGTATCCCATGCACTATGCTAAGCACTGGAGACATACAAATAAGAGACAAACTCAAGATGATTACAACCCAACAGAAGGAACAGAGTTATACAACCAAGATTATTACACAGTAGCACATTCCATTTAGGTTTTTTTAAAAAAGGTGTTAAAACACAGTTAAGGCTCCTCTTGCCTTGCTAAATAAAGAGTTTATGACAAAGCAGATGGGCTAATTTAGGGATTCTCAACTTTTTTGGGGGGGGGTAGGGGTTCAACAATCCCCTTAGCAATCAGGTGAAGCCGATAGATCCCCTTCTCCAAATAATTTTTTAAAGTATAAAATATGTAGAAGGACAAAGGAAACCAATTCCAGTGAAATACTATTAGAACTTCTGGGTCTTAAGCCAACTTATGATACAATTTAACAATATAATTTGAGCCGCAACGCAAACATATAAAATAATATTGATACCACAGTGCAGATATGAAATGAAGATGAGATAGTCTATGTAAACACAAGGATATTTCATTGTTGCCCTAAAATACATTTTGCTTTTGTCTAACAGAACTTCTTATCTTTTACCCCGACTCTCCCTCATTCCCAACTTTCTTGTTTCAGGCCAGCACATTGCCATCCTTACACGCTCTCTTGTACTCATCCCACCTAACCAAGATGTTGCTAAAACCTGTTGTTCTCTTCTTCACGTGTCCTTCTTTGTAATGCTGATGTACATAGCATTACAATCTGAGGACTTCTTGTCCCTTTATAAAATACAGTATACACTTATCAAAAAAAAAAATCCAAAGGTATCTTTGCTAAATAAATAGGAAAAAAGATGCATAACAAAAGAATCTCCCGAAAAGAAGGCCATCTCTAAAGTTAGGAACAATGCTCCTAAATTAGATGTATTACCACAGAGTGCAAAGAACAAGGCTCTTGAGATGGGTAGCACATGTGTATATGATTAATATTGAAAATGACAGATAACAGTCAACATAACTCAGCTTTGCCATGTTTAGTTCATTTCCCAACAAAACTGTTTGAATTAACTAAGCATTCTATTTTAAAATGTGTTTATTCCAAAGCAATAAACTGGAGATTATAAATATTGGTACAATGCCACGACACAAAAGTATTTATAGAAATTACTACATTGGGGATTAATTATGACCTATGATTAATAAAGAAAACATGTCAGTTAATCTAAAACATGAATACATCTGTCAATATTGCACTCGGTATATGGAATGAATAACCATTTGAATAAGTAAACATATTTTCTTTCTTTCATAGATTTAAGAAGTGAAAAAGACCGTCCAGATCATTAATTTAGACCATCATAACCAACAAACTAAAAAAAGTACTGAGACCATGGGTGGAGCTGTGAATTGGTGCAGGCATTATTGAAAACAATTTGGAACTATACCCCAAAAGTTATTAAACTGTGCATATCCTCTGACCTAGCAATACCCTCATAAAGAGACCAAGGAAAGAGGAAAAGGGCCCAAAGATACAAAAAATATTTATAGAATCTCCTTTTGCTGGAAAGTAAGGGTGTGTCCACCTACTAGAGAACTGTTGAACCAGTTTTGGTATATGAATGTGATAGAACACAATTGGAGTATAAGAAATGATGAAGGGAATGGTTTCAGAGAAACCTAAGAAGATTTGTATGAATTGATGCAGAGTAAAGTAAGCAGAACCAGAAGAACAATTTATATGATAACAATATTGTACACACAAACCACTCTGAAAGACTTAAGAACTGTGATCAATAAACAACCAACCTTGATTCCAGAGGACTGTGACCCAAAAAAAATCATCACCATGTGACCAATCTGGGGGTTAGGGTCCCGAATGGACCTATACTGTTCAACATCACAGGAAAATCCTTTTTCCATTGTGACAGGCCTTGTCAGAGCCAGGCTCTGATGGGGAGGCAGCCTTCTAGGATCCAGAGTCCCCCTAACACCAGAATGAGGCAAGGTAGCAGAATTCTAGTAGAAGGTCTATCTCCTCATGTACTTCTAATTGAACTTGATTTTTATCAATCCCCCTGATGTATATGTTCACCAAATTCAACCATTTCTTATGAAATGTTATTGTTTTCTATTTTTAATATTCTAATAATAATTCTTTCTATCACTTTTCACTGTAAATATACAGTATTTCAGGCACACTATAAACAGCTTTTGGGGTCCACAGCTGGAGGATGTAACAATTATTCATAGCATTGTTTCTATTTCTTAAATGGATTACATATTCATGAAAACTGAGAGACACATTTGTAAAATATGCCAAGGGCCCAGTTGCAATACAAAGACCGCCCATCCTCCTTTCCTCTCTCCTCCTCCAACAAACCTACTGATAGAGTTACTAATTCGTTAAAGTTTTATCTTAAATACATACCCTTGGGCTTAGGGGGAAAAATCACAAGCAGCCTGTGGTTACAGTTAAATGAACAACTTTGATAGAGAACATCAGAAAATATCTTGTGTTTACAACTTAATTTAATATATTAACACCAATTATATGTATAAATACTGCTTGGCTCTTGAAACAGAAGGTTTACTATAATATTTTTGAGATCTGTTCCAAAATTCAAAGATCCCTTTCCTAGAACATTTACTTGAAGACTACAATACCCATACATAAGGGACATAGCATATGGCTCTCATTAACTCAGACTGCTGCTAGTTGCTAGCAGCTTCCCTTTGAAACCAAATTACTATACTTGACTTTCAAATGTATGTATTTGAAATTAAAAGAAATGCTGGCATCCAAAACGCAGCTTTTCCCCTAAAGTTAACTGTGTGTTTTGTTTAAATGCCACAGTAGTATAGAATTTTTACTTCATTGCTTCTTACAGTGGAAGAGAATTTGGCATAAAGAGAAATTCTGAAAGGAAACAGAAAACATTAAAAAAAAAAACTTTATAACAAAAAAAATGCCCTAATGCTCTCTTTAAATACTTCATAGCCCTGTTAAGAAAGTTCAATTCCCACAGCTATTAATTGAAAGAACACTCCTGTTAAGAAAGGGAAAAAAACAAACTCCAAATAGTCCTACTGAAGTTGGCCTTGCTAACATCAGCTTTGGCACTCCTTACAACTCCTAATGAGGTACAGGGAAACTGGAAACACAACGTGGTAGATGGAGCAAAAGACCCATGCAAAAGTGAATTCAAATCAACTCAAATCTTTTTGCTTAGAGAGTGTTTTTTTCCCTAATTGTCCACTTATCCCACAAGATAAATAATGCTCAGCCAAAAAAAAAAAAAAAATCAGCTAGCTGTACAACTCAGCAGGTCCTGACTCACTGCTTTATTAAAGAATCCATCACTGTCCCTACACATAGTACACACTCTCACTAGGCAAATCAGCCAACATTGCTGTTTCAGGGTTTGGCTGGGGACTAAGTGATTGATGGGGAAAAATAGGGTGAAGGTAGGGCCAAGTGAGGAAGAAAGGTAGAAAGCAGACTGCTACGCATCAACACTGGCTGGGAATCTGCCTCCCTCCCCATCTCCTTTGATAGATTATAGCTATTAGGTGCTTCATTGTCTTTCTTCATTCAGAAATTCTGAAGCTACCGCTAAGATATGCATCAGTGGGAGTGGTTTAATTTAACTCCTAGGATTACTACTGTAATTACAATAGGAAGTATTAGTTCACATCTATACAGTGCTCCTAATACACCAGGCTGCCTTTCCCACTTGGGGGGAGGGGGGAGAAAGGGAAGGGGAGAGGCACGAACCATTAGATCAACTGTAAACTTCAGTGGTTCAAGACCTCCTACAATTCAATCTAACAAGTGCCTGAGCACCAAGTCTTAGCTCATGGCATTGAGAGGACTGTGGTATGGCCAAATGAACATCAGATCTGCAATCCAAAGACCTGGGTTCTAGGCCTGACTTGGACATTTAATAAGTGGTGTGCAAAGGCAGGCCCTTAACCTCCCTTGGTTACAGTTTCCTCACTTTAAAATGGGGATACAACTGCTTAGGCTACCTGTTTCACAGGGTAAAGATGAAGTATGCATGAGATAATGTATGGAAAGTACTTTGTAACTGTTGAATATTAGATAACAATTACCATTGACGGGGCACTGGAAGATTTGCAGAGTGCTTTATACACATTATCCCATTGGATTCTCAACAATCTTTTGGCTGCACTGCTTTGGGACTCCTCTGACCTCTCTACCATGTCCCCAAGAAGCTCGTCATTGGGAAAATCTCATCATCTCACGGGATCCAATCAGCCTTAGTACTCATGTTGCGCATCACTGACCTCTGCTCCTTGATTGAAAGATAGAAAGAGCCATGAACTCCCAAACCTTCATTTAAGGAGAGGTCTCAGCACAGAGAGTTTTGCACTTGCCACCTGGCCCCACTACTTTGGAAATTTCCTGACTTCTCCACCGTTCTCCCCACACTCTGCTCCCCTGCTCCCCCCCACACACACATCAGGTACCATCCCTCTACTTCTATCAGCTTTCCTTTTAATGTGCTGTATTCCTGTATTAGATCATAAGCTCTTTGAAGTCAGGGACTCTTTTTTTTTTTGTATTTGTCAATACATTACACCCTCCTGATGTCATTGGTCCTCTTTGAGAACAAATGACAACAATCTGTATCCCCAGCACTTAGCACAATGCCTGGCAAAGAATAGGCATTCAAGTGTTTATTGAGTATCGGGTTATTGCAAGCACAGGATAAAGGAACCAACTGAGAGACAGCCAGTGTGCTGCACTGAGGTGGGCTCAATGTGGAGAGGAAGGGTCTCTTGGCACCATGTTATTGTTGTGGTTCACTTGTTT